CCCCCCCCTTTTTGCTCCCTTCCAGTATCTAGTGCTCTGATGTTCTGCCTCTAAACTGGAGGGTTGCATTTCGTGATCTTAGCAATAGTCTGGGGCGTGGGGGGGGGAGCTTTCCTCTCCAAGAGTCTCTTACACTTTGTTAAAGCCATCAAATTTAATCACTGTTACCCCATCTTGGCCCAATGTGTTCCGTAAGTTTTAATTAGACATAAATTTTTAACACTATGTTTCTTTAATTTTACTCCTCTCTTCCTCGGTCATTCATCACCCGGAAGTCTCATTTTCTCTGTAGCAGCTTACTTTATATATCTGGGTAAAATCCTGGAACGCTCTTCTTCTGTGGAGCTCATCCAGGTTGTGTCTGAAAGCTGTCGAGCCCCAAAGAGTGTGTTCTTGATAAATACTCACCCATAGGGAGGGCGAGTGCTTTTATTAAAAATGCTTCTTCTCGCCCTGCATTCCAAGCTGCGATTCAGGCTGGGAAGACCTGCTCTCCTTAATAAGATCTTGCTAGCAGGAGTGACTGCCGGTTAATTATCACTAACGTTGTAATTGCAGTCAGTGTTTACTGTTCAATTGAGTTATTCCTCTCTTTAATTGTGTTGAATTATAATTAGAAGCAAAATTGCAGGATGGGGCCTGAAAGCTTTTCAAAGGCGTCTTGGGTAAGAAAACGGTGTTAAAAATAGAGCCTGTAATGCTTGCACGTTGTGCATCTAAACAGCGCTGTCATCTAGGAAGTCCTGCGATCTCAGAGGGGCCCTTCCCACACGTGGTGCTTCTCAGTCCCTTACTTGGTCACCGGTGAAATTCCTCCGCTGCCTGGAGCCGGTGACCCACAGGGATGTGAGGGTCTCCGTTGTAGGGCACAGTGTTTCAAAAAGACAGTTAAGTGCTTGTTAATCAGAGCCCACAAACCATGCAAGAAGCTAACGGTTGGAAGTACCTAGTTACTTCCTAGCTATTTGTAATTAATTCTCCATTATAGGGATAACTCTGCCAACGTGACTTATGCATCTACCTAGATGTCCAGTCTGGAGGTAACTAGTTATAAGTAGTTTGTTGCTTGTAATTAATGCCTTTTGGAGTAACTAAAGGCACAACCACACTAAGCTGCGGATGCATCTTAACGAAAAGGTTAACTTCACTCCTTTGGTTTAGATGGGCGGGATAGAAATCCAATAAATAAATAAACTCCTTGTACATGAGTTGTCCTTCAGTGCAACTGTAACTCCTTAGTTGCTTTCATAGTAACTTTACTTCCCATCGTTACTTTCCACAGTAGTTACTAATGGTAGAGGAGGAATAGCACGTGATGCCTTGTGCTCTGTTGTGGATGTTGAAAAGATGAGGAGAGGCGAGCAGACCCCAAGCCAGTTCTGTATCCCAAAGCTTCAGTCATTTGGGGTTTATCAATGACCAAAAAGTAAGGTTTTATTGATTTGTGGAAGAAGGCAGAAGAAAAAAAACTTCCTTTTTGGAAAAAAAAAGTAACTATAATAGGAATTAACTACTTTTTGGAAAGAGAAGTGTGCCACTCTTTAACAGTAACTTTCCAAGATGTAGCCAAACACTGGAACTGTGCAATAACTATCTGGGCTTTCCTAGACTACAAATTATGCCGATCACAAGCATGCCTCCTTTTGCACATTGTTTCCACTTGATGGAAAGAGACTGGAAAGGGAGCAAAAGGCACTGAAGCTATTCTCTATGGAGACCCTATTAAGGCCTAGACCCCCCTTTTTTAATAGCTAAGGCGAGAGGCTCGGTTGTCCACTCAGTATCTCCCCGTCTGTAGCGGCGACTCTGGGAAGACAGGCTCCGGAAGTCAGGGCGCTCCTCCTTCCAGCTGAACCCATTGGCGGGGTCGCGTTCTGCCCTCCTCGCTGGGTTCAGGCCAGGAGCCCTGCGCCAGGGGCATCTTTAAGCACGCGCAAAGGACCCCTTCCTCTGGGCGTTCGGAAGGTCACGCAGCCGCTTGGGTTGACGGACCGATCGGACGAAGATAAGTCCTTATCGGTTCGGCTTGGCTGGGGAAGATCAGGATAAGGCGTGCTCTGGGGCAGCTCTGAGTCCTCGGCAGAACCGGCGTCGCTGCTTCCTCAACCTAAAAAAGGCAGCCGTCGTTTGCAGAAAGCAAGGGACGGGCAAGGGCCCAGAGGCACTGTGCGGGTGTCCTGGAAGGCTCTTTTCTTTTTCTCCTCCCTCCCTCTCTCCCGCACAGCTTGGCCAAATTCTGCCTGGCCCACCTTCTGCTCAAGAGGAATCCCGCAATGTTCTCCCAGCACTTCATCGAGTGCATCTTCCACTTCAACAGCTACGAGCGACACGAGAAATACAACCGATTCCCCCAGAGCGAGCGGTCAGTGAATCTGCTGTGGTGGAGTTGACGGGGTGTTGGTATGGAAAGGGCAGCCGGACGCCCCGGTAACCTAACATGCCTGACGCTTTCCTGCTGAGCTTCTGCATCCTTACCGTGTAAGGTCCGATGACCGTTTCCCCAGGAGGAAAATTCCTTTGTGCAGTGCAGTAATTGTGCAAAAGGGGTACGACCCCATGTTATTCCGCTCTGCCCCTAGGCTCCCCACACCTCACCCCAAAGTGTAGGGTTCCCTGGGGTGGAGGCTTCCCCTTTGGGCTTCGGGGTGGCCATTTGCAGAAGGCAGAAGCTGTCCCGGGCTCTGCCCTGCAAGGGCTGGATAGCAGTGGCCAAGCAGGGTCAAGGCAGCGCCTTCTCCTGGGATGCGCAGACAGGGCGCTTCGCCTCCTGCGGCTCGCAGGTCCGGGCATTGGCGCATGGGCAGCCTGTCCTAGGAGAGCTGTCTTTCTGCTATGAGGAGGCCAACGACCTGAGGCAGGGAAAGGGAGGAGCGTGGGATGGGGTGGAAGAGCAATGGCGAGGAAGAGGGACAGCTAGAGAGAGGAAGGGGTTGAAAGAGAGAGAGAGAGAAAGCCAGCTAGGGCAAGAGGTGGAGAGAAAGTGTCAGAAAACATAGAACTCTGGGCTGAGAGCAAGATCTCATCCCTGTCTGGTGATGGAGCACCAATATTTATAGAAAGATCTCATCCCTGTCTGGTGATGGAGCAATATGTATAGGGAAATTAAGAGAATGTGCTAATTGTAGGGATAGCAGCCCCTTGCAAGCTGGCTCCCTCCTTCATTCTTGCATCTCTTCCTCTTGACGGTGATCAGCATGAGATGTTCACCCTTGTGAGCCTCAAGAGGATTTATTGGTGGGGAGCTATGACCCTGGTGTTCCTTCCATTTCCCCAGGAGTGTGCCATGTGTTACCCTCACAGCACCTTCCAAATCCAATCTGTGAATGAGTACGCTGCTTTGAGAGCGCCCGAGGGCGGCTGTCAGTGCCCGTCCCTGAGCAGATCGCTCTTCTCTCCCTGCAGGGAGAAGAGCCGGTTTTCGCTGAAGGGCCAAGTGAACAAAGGAAAGCGGATGCAGATCTACACGTTCCTGCTGGAGCATTTTACCGACGAGCAGCGATTCAACATCACCTCGAAAATCAGCCTGAGCGTCTTAGGTAAGGCCCGTGGCTTCTGGCGCAGAGCCCCTGGCGAGGAACACGGACCGAAGGACAGGGCAGTCTCTGTGTGAGAGGAACGGCACCCCCAAAGCCGGCCCCTTGGTAGGGAAAACTCGGGTAATGCGCCAATGACAGAGGTGGGTGGGGATGTCCCCAAAACCCAAGTATTTCAACACTCCCAAATTTGACTTGGCAGAAAGATTTTTGTGGTGCTGGATGTGAAACACTGTGGATGCTCAGAGGCGTTCTTGGGCTGCTAAGCCTTAAGAGGCATGTTTAAATGACTGAAAGGCAGGTTCCTTCCCTTGGATGCTAAGCCTGGACCATCCAAATGTTTCCACTTTCAGCTTCCCCTATCGCTGGCCCTACTGGGAGTTGTAGGGCACGAGGTGGCCGACCCCAAAGCGAACGGCCTCCCTTGGGTTGCTCGGTGGCCTTTCTCGGTCTTACGTTTGGGGCTGTGGCCGACCGATGTTTTCACGGAGGGATCAAACAGCGAGAGGGTCGCGGGCATCTGGGGGGGGGAAACGGGACTCGGAAGATCTCTAGGTTTATCCCGGATGAGCCTCTGGGATGGCTTTTCATAGGCACCCCGTGGCCACAAGTAAAAAGCCCCCGTCTGTTTCCACGGTGATTCTTCTGGATGTCCCAGATGAAATTCTTCCGTCGATTGCACCAACTCCTCTCTCCTTATTGCAGTGTCTGCTGTGGCACCTTCATGAGAATGAGTAAACCCACTTCTTTGAGTTTCCTCAGGAAACGACCTTGTACAGAGTCAGACGCTTGGATCATCTGGGCAGTTATTGTTGACATCCACTGATAGCCTGTCTTCCAGAGTCTCACGCCAGTTTCTTTCCCAGCCCTACCTGGCGACGTCGCAAGTAGAATTAGGACCTTGAGAGGTTCTTATCTTAGCTGTGGTGCCGACTCTTCCCCCTTGGGCACCTTTTTACCTATAAGTTCCCTCTGTGGGATCTGGACTCTGCAGAGAGCCCGTGCGTCTGTGAATGAGGCAGGGGAATGTTCAGATCCCATGCGGATTCTGTGTAAAAGCAGGTGAACTCTCCAGAGGCGTTTGTCCAAGTTTGCCAGCTGCATAACTACCTTAAACTTAATACATCTTTTTCTCAACCTCCTATTCCCGTCCCTCTCGCCCTCCCACTGCACACCTCATGAACGGTCCAGACTTTCCTGCCTTTTCTCCCATCTGCCTAATGGTGGGTCTTACCTGCTCCGCTCTGTTTCCTCTCACGCAGCCCCCTGCCCAGTCAGGTTCACTCCAAACCACGGGTTTAGAAGATGTCAGTCCAAGGATCGGACGGGTATGAATTCCACCGCAGGGTTTAATCCTGCTCTTATCCTGAAACAGGTGGAACTCCCCTTGTCCATCTTGTTCTCTAACCTTCCCTCCAGCCTGCTTCGTGGACGGGGTCCTCCCTCTCGACCCAGAGGCCAGCGAGCTGCTGTCGGACACCTTTGGGATCCTGAGCTGCAAGGAGATCAAACTCTCGGCGATGAGGTCGAGACCTGAGGAAGACCTCCAGCCCGAGGAGGATGAATTGGCCATGGCCAATGCTGTCATGCAGGTGGCTCAAAAGAAACTCATCTCCCAGGTAAGTCTCAAACTGCAAAAGTTTGTGGAGTTCTGCTGTGGACTGGGCAGCCCGTTCCAAATCTTCCTTAAGAGTAGGAAGTTCTGTCGGCGTGAGAGGCGGAGTTATGCAAATTACTCAGGGGTTTGTACCTTTCAGGGGGAGGAGCCTGAGTCCTGCCTAAAGGTGTTCTGGGCCCCCCACGGTTGACTCAATTTCTCCACCGTTTGGAGTTGATCACTCTCACTTGTCTGAACCCCTTCTCTCCCTTTCCTTCTGTTCAATCCGATCTCCAGGTTCAGAAGAAGCATTTTGTGGAGAACGTGATTCCGATCATCACTTCTCTGAAGGCCTTGTTGGAGCAGAGCCGGCTTCCTGCGTTGAGAGACCTCATGAACTACCTCCGGGTAATCTCTTCCTGCCCTGTCATGCAGGGTCATCATCAGACGGGGCCAGTGGTCTTCTCCCACCGCTAGGCACGGTTGCCCGGCTCCTGTTGCCAGGTTGCATTGTGAACCGCTTGCATCTGAGCACCAGAGAGGGGAGGGCATGAGGAGAGGAACACGGCTACAAAGCCCAAGCCTGGCTGGATGACGGAGGATGGAATGAGGGGAGCCTGCAGGATCTCTGCTCAGAGTTTCTCAGGTTAGGTGATGGGACCAGAACCTTCAGAGTCCTTGAGTGAGGTCCTCAGTGGGGGTGGGTAGTGTGTGGCCTGTGATCCCCTGCTTAAAATGATTTTAAGAACCTTCAGAGTCCTTGAGTGAGGTCCTAAATGGGGTGGGTAGTGGGTGGCCTGTGAGCCCCCGCTTAAAATGATTGCCCCAAAAGGTAACTCACAATCCTCAGGGCTGGCATGATGTGCTTTTAATTTGGCTCAAATAAAATAACACTTCTTGCTGGCTGTTGAGTTTGATCCATTTGATTGTAAGTAATGAAACTTTTTATCCTTCCTCCTGTTAATGTCTCAGAGCGAGTTATTGAGACTATAAGTGCCAGTTAGTGAGAGAAAAAGAAAAGTGGGGATTGGTCTTCTCCGGCTAACGACAAGTGAATGTGACCTGGTCGTTCCCTAGAGTGGGCAGCCGGCTTTTCACTTTTGCTGATGCTTCTCCCTTGACGTGTCCCCAACCCCTCCTGCCTCTTTCAGGAAGTGATGCAAGATTACAGGAACGAAGTCAAAGAGCTTTTTGCCGCGGACAAGCAGCTGGCGGCGGAGCTGGAGTACGACCTGAAGAAGTACGAGGAGCAGTTGCAGAGGGAGTCTGAGCAAGGCCAGGAGGAAGCCTCTTCCGTGACGGAAGCCCCGGACGCTCAGGCTGGCAGACAGGTGCAGACGCCCCTTTGGTTCTTCGAAAGGAGGACACGGCTCTGCGGAGAGCCTGAAATCTACATTTTCCAGGCCACCTGTCTCTTCTGCCCAAGCTGTGGATGCTTGGGCTTTAAAAACCACCCTGAGAGTGTCATATTTCTTACCACCCCCATGTACAGGTTTTGGGGAGAAAAGCTTCCAGTTTGGTCTTCAGAGCTGTAGCCTTGAAGATCCCCAACCTCAGCTGTCTGGCTGTAAAATGGGGATAACAGGGCCTTGAGCTGTTGAGTGAGTGTAAGAGAAATCACCGAGCTCTCTGGGTATTGGATAAGATTAACAATTGAATTTTAGCATGTGTCCTTTTTTTTCCCCCCTGTTTAAATAGCCTCCTCCAGACTCTGAGAAGGGCACTCTTCTTCCCAGTGATCAAAATGGGATAGGCGCCAGAGGCTCCTTGGCTTTGGGATCTCCTCCTCGTTCGGCGTCCTTTGGGTTCATGACGCCCAGACCAGCTCTGCATAAACCCAGGCACAGGTACAGTATCTGGTGGACTTCAGCAGGGACGCGTTCTTCCATTTTAAGCTCAACCCTAGTCAGCACAGCCGTGGAGAAGGAGGGCGGTGGAAGCCCTATGATCACCTTCTCCTGTTTTTTTCAGAAAATTTATTTGTTGGGAAGAACGGTGGGAAGCTTACGATGTGTCCTGAACTGTTCGTTTGTTTTGATAAGGTTGCCGCTGGCCTTAGGCTCGCACGGTTGGGGCCATTTATGCATCTGCGCGCTGCGCTGCACGTTCAGCGTTGCTCCGGCTCCAGTGCTGTGAATTTAATCGGCACCATGTGGTGCTCGGGGGAACGACTTGCAAAGCTCTTCCCCCTCTGTGATGGGGAACCTCCACGAATTTTCATCAGCCGCTCGGATAATCTCTTCCTCGACTGGAAATTAAATCCAACACTTGCCAGAGGTCGCCGAGTATTTATTCCCCACCCCTCCTGTAGCAGCTGAAACCCCGGTAACTGTCTCTGTCCTCTTCCCCTTTATAGGAAGTTGTCCTTGAGCACCTTTGCCATCCTCAATTCGGCGAAACAGGCTGTGGAGGCGGCCAACAGGCAGCGCAGCAAGAGCATGGGGCAGAGACCTGCCTCTCCAGAGAGCAGCAAAGGTCAGCCGCCGTGCAAGACATGGATCTGTTGCAGAAGGGACCCCATTGCAGCCGCAGCTGTAGGATGAGTGTCTTATGTCCTTTTTCTTCCTTCCTCCCCCCTCCCCAGCCTCCTTCTGCAGCCTCAACCAGCGGTCGTCCGAATCCAGCATTCCCCTGGATGTCCGAGCCATCAGCACCCCGGAGAGTAAGTTTCTACTACATCCCCAGCGTGGCCTTCCTTGAAGGAAGAAAGGCAGAGCGACCAAAAAGCTTCAAAGGAGGAGAACAGGAAAATAAACAGGAGCTGCAGGAACCCAAACCACCCATTTGGGGGGTCCATCGCCCCAAGCTGGCAGCCCCCCTCATTGTGGGGTTGCAGCCCCCCCCCATGAGTGTGATCTCCTCTGAACAGCAGCAGGCCTGGCTTTGCTCGTACACGCAGACAACTGCTCCAGGCTCAAGCTGGTCCTCGAGAGCTTAGGCGGTGGCTTCTCCCCACCCACCCCAGCGTTGTGCTGATGACAGGACAGCTCTGATCGGTGTGCACCCCCCTCCCCTTCCCTAACTTGGCCGGACCAGCCGACTCACCAGGAACACCAGACACCTCCTTGCCTTCCTTTCCTGTGCTTTGCAAAAAATAAGCAAGCAAATAAATCTTGGGAGCCCCCCCACCCCCAAGCCGTGAAAAATCATGCCTTCCTTCCCAGCTGATGTTCCACTTAAGTGTCATATGCTGGGGAGGGAGGGATGGGGGGAACCTTTAATCCCAGCGCAAGGCAAGGCTTAACATTCCAGCTTTCCTTCCTAGCAGCCACACAAGCTGCATTTTGCATGTCTGCTTCCTGAGCTGGCCCGTCTTGAGCTCTCCGCACCACGGCAGGCTCTGGATCCCTGGGTCCTTGAAACATTACAAGGGGGGGGAACAGTCCTCCTGTCCCTTTCAGGGTGTCCCATTTCCATTGAAGTGCTAGCGATGCACCAATCACGACCGATAACCACTGTTTCCGAGACGGCGGCCACGTCTCGGCTGGGCTGCCGTGAATCCAGCTTCTGCTCTTTGGCCTTGCCGGGATGTTCTGAAGCCAAGCGGGCAAGCTGAGAGCGGGCTCAAACGCCCACCACCGCCACCTTGTCTGATGCTTTTGTTAGCTGGCTGGGCCTGCCCACGTCTCTGCTAAGCCATCAGGGGGTGCGCCAGTGCCCTTAAAAGAAAAGATAGCAAAGGACAGCCTTTCCCAGAGACCCCTTGCTTGGTGACCTGGAAGGGATTAGTTCTGCTCTGAGGCAAACAGCTCTTTGCCTGTCTGCTTCTCTCTCTCTCACTCTTTTATCATTACAACTTTGCAACCCTAGGAATGCGAATCCTTGGAGTTGCTGTGAGGTGGGCTGCTCTCTCTCTCTCTCTCTCTCTCTTATCATTACAACTTTGCAACCCTAGGAGTGCGAACCTTTGGAGTTGCTGTGAGGTGGGCTGTGATCCGTATTGCTGCCCCCCTCCTCCTTCCGGCTCCATTCCCTACTAGCTCTTTGCTAGCATAGACAGCCCTTGGCCCAATGCCATATAGCTCCTGCCCGCAATTACTCAGCTGTTGAACGTCCGCACGTGATAGCGTAGAACCTTGGTGAGCCACAGGGTGAATAGAACATGGATACACTTTTTGGCCTGATCCGGAAGCACTCGTCTCACAACAGTGTGATGTGGCTACAAAAAAGGCAAATGCTATTTTAGGCTTCATTAACAGAAGTACAGTCTCCAAATCCCGCAAGGTGCTAGTTCCCTTCCATTCGGGACTAGTTAGGACTCATCTTTAGTCCTGTGTCCTATTCTTGGCACTGCACTTTAAGAAGGATGCCGACAAAATTGGAGCAAGTTCAAAGGAGGGCGACAAGGCTGATCAGGTCGCTGGAAACCAAGCCCTGCGAGGAAAGACTGCAAGAGTGGGACATGTTTTGCCTTGAGAAAAGAAGACTGAGACAGGAGATAGGATAAGGTTTTTCAAATACCGTATTTTTCGCTCCATAAGACGCACCTTTCCATAAGACGCACCAAATTTTTAGGAGAAGAAAACAGGAAAATATAATCTGTTTTCCTTGCTTCATAAGACGCACAGACTTTCCACCCCCCTGTTTTGTGGGGGAAAAGTGTGCCTTATGGTACGAAAAATACGGTACTTGAATGGTCGTCATCCAGAGGAGGGGCAGGATCTGTTCTCGGCCATCCCCGAGTGTAGGACTCACAACAATGGGCTCAAGTTAAAAGGAAGCTAGATTTTGGTTGACTATCACGAATAACTTCCTAACTGTTAGAGCAGTACAGCAATGGAACCAGTCACCTCGGGCGTTGGTGATTGCTCCAACACTGGAGGCATTCAAGAGAAATTTAGACAACCAAAGGATATTTAGATATCCTTTGATTTGTATTCCTGCATCAAGCAGGAGGGGTGGACTCAATGGCCTTATAGGCCCCTTCCAACTTCATGATTCTTACGTTCTCAAGCTCTGGTTCATAGGAGCTAAAACTAAGGGCCGTACCTTTCTTGCAAGCCGAGATCCATCGCCCTTTCTCGGAATTGCTCCGTAAAGTTGTCCTGTCCACTCACAGCATTGAACAATGAAATGATAATCTTTGCAGAGTGTATCTCGGGGCGATTTGATGGCACTACATTGGATTTGCAACTAAATCCCGAAGCGTTACGGCCTCCCTGCTTTCTTGTTTATACCTATCTGGATTCTTTTGTAATAATGAAAAGAAGCAAAGAACCATCTTGTGGAAAGCTTAAGAGGCTGGGCTGTGATAATCCTTGTGGGTCCTTTTTTTTTACTTCCCCATTTTCTTCCCAGAGTCCATTAACAACATGACCTTTGGGGCCGGAGTCAGCTATATCAGCCTGACACGCACGCCGGCTTCAGCAAAAGGTAAGTCATGGGCTATTTCCAGTCCTAATAATTTAGGGGAGGTTGAGGCAGGGGGGATTTAATGAGAAAGACTTAGGCACGGGAATACTCCTGTTTTGTTTTTTTTTCTCCTGCAGAAAAACAAGGAGAGCAAGATGCACAGAGACAGATTGTCTGCTTACAGTCCCCTGATAAGCCGTGAGTATAAACAGAAACTTTGGCCAGACAGAGTCCTGCAACTGGAAGTTAGCTTCTGTCTGATCCACTGCCCATCAAACGTTTTCATGTATTTCAGATTTATATGTTAGGATTCCCCCCCCGAAACAGCTGTGTGACCTCATGTCTCCCCCACTCCTTTTAACCCTCAGCCCTGAGCCTGTGAGGTGAGCTCATTTGAGAGGCGGCAGTGGGGTTCCACCACAACTCAGCCATATTTTTTTCCCCACATCCTGAGGCTAATTGATGCTGGGACTTCCCTGATCCTGGCATAGTAACTGCTGCACTGTGTGGGTTCTTGAGTCATATTTGGGATCTCCCTGATGCTTATCCCTGTTTGGTGGTCCTGGATACCAGTCATCTGTGCAGAGTTGATAGGAAAGTGGGGAGCGGGGGGAACAACATGCAGGCAACTTGGAGGGGCTGGAACGTGGCAATGCGCTCTTTTCTCTGCTCTCTGGAAAGCCATCCAAAGACACCTCTGCCTCTCCCGGCTGAAATGCGTGCTCTCAGCAGGCTTGAGTGATGAAAGCCGATGAGAAGACTGTATTGTTGCAAACTGCAGGAAGAGGAAGGTTTGTTAACCGGATAAGCTTCTCCTTTATAAAGTGATCTGTGAGGGGAATAGACTCCATGAGCCCACAGGACCCCCTGTCCTCTAAGGAGTATCCCGCTTCTTTTAGCAGAGATAGCAGCTAAATAATAGCCATGGCTTTTCATATAACCGTCTACTCCCTCTGATGTCATTAATGTTCCACCCGGGGCAACAGCTTCCGTCTCCCTGCTAGGATATTGACAAGATTCAGGATAAGATTCTTTATTTAAGAACTGCATCCATAGCAGGACCTCCTTATCCGCGGGATCAGTATCTACTGATCCACTTAACCCACGGTCTAAAAATCTTAAAAGAAAAATTCCCCGAATATAAATTTCTAATTATGAAGTTACCAGAAACTGCTACTAGAAAGAAGGAGCCCAGCGACCATGCTCTGTATAGCGTTCGCTATTAAAATCCTGTTTGCTATGATCCACATTTTTCAGCATCCACGAGGGAGCTTGGAGCCGATTCCCTGTGAATACAGGGTTGTACTGTACACTTCTTTCTACACGTTACCTGGTTTGTAAGATTGTGGCCACACCACGGACGTGTCTGCTGCTTGTAGAGTATGAATGGCTCTAACCACTCATTCTCTTGAATGTGTTACTTAGGCACTATTTTCTGCCTTGCTTTGTAGATCAGCACCACCACCACAGTGGAAAGTAAAATCTCCCGGAAGGGGAAGCCGGGGCCCCTCAAGTGTGGGTCTGAAAAGGTCCACCCGCAAGATGCCCTTGAAAACAGCCCACTGATGACTCAAACCTACTAAAGCCATAATTTGTACATAAGCGTAATCATGGCCATTTTCTTCTTTCTCACAGAATCTCTCTGGAGATCAGAATATAATCCTTCTCTTGTAGATACCTTCTTCCTGGTATCACGATTTTATATATTTTTTTAATTGACCTAAACATGTCCTGTGGAATTGCTTGAGAGTAGTAATGCCTCCTCATCCTGGTTGAGACAACATCTGCCCATTAACCGGAAGACTATCACTTCCTTTATTCTAGTGTCCATCTGAAATAATTGGAAGAAAATGCCTTCCAGTCCAGGTAACCAGCACTGCAGATCCATAAGTTCCCTTTGCCGTTGAACCAATATGGGCTAACAGACTCTGCCTCTTCCCTTACGTTGCTAAAATCAGAGCGGTTAGCCCAGTTTTCATCATTGAGGTGATGCTACTGAGCAATCATATATGAAAGGCAGTGCACCAGACCTGTGTTGGCAAAGCCATGGAAATGCTTCTCGTTAAAAACGAGAGCACCTTAGTCCAAAGGGTTGTGATCACGGCCTTTTGGTTAATATACAGCCTTCTTTAGATACGGGCCCACATTTTTCGCCGTAGAAAAACGTTAGATGCATCTTCAGTTCTAGTTTTCACAAACAGGGCTTTGAAAAATCATGCCGTACACGCTTGCCTCAGAAGGAAGGCCATGTGCTTCAGTCAAACCATAGTATGTTTCTCCATGCAAGGCTGTCCTGTCCTTGGCGACAATTTCCTAGTTTCAGAACATGTTTATTCCAGCTGCTACACAATTATGTACACAATAAATGCTCTTAACAGACTTTGTGCATAGTCGGCTGCTTTAATTCGAAACCTGCTTTTTGCCTGGAGTCTTAAAACTTCATTTCTGGGTGCTTTCATTTCCCTCATAGATAAATAAGGGCCAAGACAGTCCCTCTCAGCCAGGGGCCTCCAATTAGGATTCTAATTTAAGCCCCCCCCCCAAATTCAAATCCCTCCAGAAGTGGGCTGAAGACAATCGCCATTTTCTCAGATTCTCCCGTCTGCAATACAAAGATGAGGCCTCACTTGCACATACCGGTGATGGCAAGAAAATCGAGGTGGCATACTTTGAATAAACTTCAAGCACAGTTTAATTCAAGTGTTTTTTTTTCCTTCCTGGTATTTCGACGAGAGGGGAAAAACATCTGTTGTATCAGTAGAAGACAGTCTAATAAACTTCAAGCACAGTTTAATTCAAGTGGGTTTTTTTTCCTTCCTGGTATTTCGACCAGAGGGAAAAACATCCGTTGTATCAGTAGAAGACAGGGGCACCAGGTTGGAACAGAATTAAAAGTATGTCTAGCCATGAAGCCAACCTCTTGGTCTATGTAGATGCAGCTTTCCCCCACTTCCCATCTTCAGGGTTGCTCTTGTCTATGGTCAGGAGTTTACCAGGCAAACCTGAAGTTCTGTGATGTCAGCTGGGCACCTCAAAGTTTTCTCTGTGAGGTCAACTTTGCATAGGTAAGTCATAGCCTGGTGTTACCTGCTGAGTAAAGTGGTAAGCTGAGCCTCCTTCTAGCTAAGAAGACTTGAAGAGAACTTCTGTGCACCTCCAATGAGATCCCCTTTCAAACTAATGTTAAGATTTTTTTTAAAAGCAGGGGCTGGTCAAGAGTTGCAGCCCTCTGTAGCTGTAGAAGGGCAACTCACGAGCCTTAGCAAAGCCAACACGTGGATGTTGGCCACAAGATGCTCACCTCTGCTTTTATTTTACCCAGGGACCCGCAGAACCCATGCTGAAGATGTTCAAGCACACATCCCTTGTGGGTAATCTGGCAGTAATCCTGCTTCTCTCCAAAACCAAGTGATTTAACTAGTCTGGCATACCCACCAGCGTCTTGGCTCACAGCGTCCCCACCACCACCACACACACAAAAAAACACTCAAGACACCTGGTTGATATTTATGCAAAAACATTCTTGGCAAAGTTAAATGCAATACATTAGTACAAACTAGTCACATATTTACAATGGGTTCTGTGAAACTTATCCAGGGCGGATTCCCCTGATTTGCTAACAAGATGCCACTAGTGCATTTTTGGGGGATCTCCGAAGCGCCACGCTTGTTTGTTCTTCGCCGGCGGAGTTTCGGAGCAGTGGCCTTGTTAGCGGGAGACTTCTAAGGGGCTGCCTCTGCTACAAGCTAGGCTAACAACCCAAATGAGTTTAGTCTCTAAGGAACTCTGGTGGCATAGATCAGGAAGAGACGAGGAAATGGTCCCTTCTCCCTGTACTTCTTTATCCCTTTTTGCATCAAGAGGTATGGATTCAAGGCAGTTAGATATAAAACAGTGTCTCAGCTATCTTTCCAGATTTGAGTTGGTTCAACGGGAGTCAAACGGCACTCCAGCTTAACAGCCAGGAGGGTTGTGCTTTTTAGCACCGCCTGAAGAACTCCACACAATAAAGTTAGCAGCTCAAAGAGAAGAACCCACTTCTTGTTTTTTTCTTTCCAAGATGCTCATGTCATTTTCTAAGTGCTTGCAGGGGTATTAAAAAGCAAACCTCACCCTTCCTGCTCTTCTCTCCCCAGTCTCAAGTGGTGTACTCTCCAGCATGCGACCACTTTCAATGGAAAATGAGCTCTGAACAACATCTGCTACAGAATGAGACCACGGAGGTTTTGAGGTGGGAGGAGGGATCCTCTTGCTCCCAAGGAGTCCATGGGAGATGATAAGTCTAGTCTATGTTTCTATGCTCCCCAAAGTAAATCATTCCCTGGTGTTACCTGAGGAAACGCGTATGAAATGCTGTATACTCCCTGCAGCGTTAGTCTACTACGTGATTTAAAGACAACATTCAAAAATGGATTTCCCTCTGCTTTGAAATAGCACTAACCCAAATTCCGCCACCTCATTCTAAAGCAGAAAAATGAAGCTACATCCAACTTGGCCTTGGCTAAGGGTCAATGATAGCATACGTTGAATTCCTTAAACAGCTGCTTTCCTATAACTTGGTCCCCTGCCCAAATTTGGACTTTCGAGAGCCATCATGTCTTGCACCCATTATATCTAAACTCCAGCTATCTCATATTTACCCCCGGGGCCATTTTGTAAAGAGCCCAAGCTTTTCGCTCCTTCTGGGTTGCCTTAACTGAACGACAGCGGGCCATGCTGGAAATCATGGCTGTTAATCTGGAGGAGATGTGCATTTGGTTGTGTAGCTAGATCTCTCTCTCAGACAGCTGGTGCCACGCCTTCGTTCCAATAAATTATAATAATACCACACGTCTTCTCTCCATCACGGGCTTAAGAGGCATTCTAGAAAAGGGGCAACCAAGATGGAAGGGGGAAGCCATTCTGATTCCGAAGGCAACCCTCTTCGATCGTAATTCAGGCTCAAAGGGAGGAAAACGCCTTGGCAGTGGATAAAGAGTCTACTTTGGTCAGATGCCTCTGAGAGGTAGCCACTGTTCGTTCAAAACAAGATGGCGGCAGTGTGACGCATTGGAATGGCTTTTCTGTGGTTGCCACCTGACTCGCGAAGCTAGGGAACAAGGCTCCTGCAGAAAAGCGAAATGAAATGCACCAATGGCATCTCCTACATACCCCAGTCTGTTAAAACACACACACACACACATACACACACCTTCAAAGTAACAGATTTGCGGGATATTCCACGGCCAATGAAAACCGAGCACCAACAGAACACAAAGCAGTCCCAAAAATTCCAAAAATGCTTTTTCCGCACCCAGAGTTAAGACCATTAAAATGTGTAAATGTAAAACACCATCACAATTTTAAAAGGAAAAAAAAATATGCTAGGCTTCTAAAAAAAGTTGAACCACACTCTTTTTTCAATCACAGCAAAAGCACTGCTCTTGGAAGTTGTTTTTTCCACTAAATTGCACCGCCGCACCCTTTCAAGCTTGGAAAGAAACAAGGGGTGAGAAACTCAGAATTATCTGCTGGCAGGCAGAGGAGTGGTTACTGAAACAGGGGAAAAAGAAAGATAAAGGAAAACAAGTTATTTTAAAAAAAAACATTCCTGCCTCACCCTCTTCTTTTTTTTTCCTTTGTTATGAATTTACAACAGGAATGTCTAGGGGTGGGAAAGTGGATGAGCTGAAAAGGAGGCGAGAGAGTCATGAACTTTATATATAAAAAGTTTTCGACCCAGTAAAAGTTTCATACCTTGGGCAGGACCGAAAAGGCATGGCTGAGCCAAGCAGCCTGCGGAGGCCAGAAGCTGGGGAGGGGGTGTGTGGTCTTCTGAATGCCCCACGGCCCCACAGGATCTGACATTCCCATGAGTTTCAAATGTAGTGTGTTCGGAGACATCAGAGAAGGACGGTGTGCTTTAAAAAAAAAAACACCAGCAACTCCTCTTTAACTTCCCAGAATATATATATAGTTCTTTTGATTCAAGCGAGAGAAAAAGGAGAATCGTCATTATTTTCTTGCAGGATATATATACAGTGGTGCCTCGCAGAACGATCGCTCCGTAGAGCGACGAATGTTCTTTTGATTCAAGAGAGAGAAAAAGGACAATCGTCATTATTTTCTTGCAGACTACAGACTTCCCCTGCAACCCACCCCAACTCTATATTCTCCCCTATGAAGAAAAACAGGAAGGAGCTGGTTGCTTTCTTGCTAGCCCTACACACTTCGGTGTGCTCCGCACTGTTAACGATACTGATGTGGTTTAAATTGGAACAGGCATCCTCGCCTGTCATTAAACAAAATAAATCGAAACGCCTTAAAAAGAGCTACATCAGGACTTAATACTGTTTGGCCTACCAACCTATTTACATTTTAAATAGAAATGTTAACCACTCTCTTTTTTTTTTAATTATTTTTTTGAAGTAATCAAAATATATCTTTGCAAAAAAAAAAAAATTTTTTTTTAGAACGCAAGGATTCTACAAAAGGAGGAAGAGTAGAAAAGCTCCACTTTCGGTCCCAGAACCACATGAGATTTTTATACCCGAGGGCTTTAAGCTTTTAGGATTACCCAGCCAGAGAGGAGGGTCGGATGCTTAGGTGGCTGCAGAGAGGGGGACCCACGAGGGGTAAGTGCCGAAAGCAGATCAGAAGCCACACACACGTGCACCCGGGGAGAGGGGGCGAGAAGCAAGCTCGAAACACCGTCCGCTCGAAAGTCACAGTCCTGCAGGTGACATTTTTGTAAGGAGTCTGTAAGGCAGGAAAGCGGGATTTGTCGCCTCTGACTGCTGTCTGACACGCTTTGAACCACCCGCCCACCACGGAAGCTCTCAAAAAAAGACCCTGAATGGGAAGCAGGGAAGGAGTGGTGGCCGGCGGCACAGAGGGGTGACCAACCAAAGTTTAGGCTGGCGCAGCCTTCTGTCTCAGAATCCAAGTGGATACTCAAAGATGGAACAATCCTGCCATGGAGATGGAGCAGATGGAGCAAGCAGCAGCCGCCCCCACCTCTCCTGAAAAAAGGAAGGCAGAGGGGTGAGGTAGGGGAAGCTAGTCAATTTCACCCTGGCTTCGTATTCCCACTTTGTGGGCATGGGTGGGATCGCCCTGAATTCCACTCTGATAGCCCAGATATTAGGTGGCTGCTAAGGTGGTGGAGGGCAATGATTTACCATATTTTTCCATGTATAAGACGCCCTCCATGTATAAGACACCCACACTTTTCCAATCCAAAATTAAGAAAAATAAGTGGGGCTTAGCAAGTGTAAGGGGAAAGGGATCAAAGCGCTGCAGGATCGCTTTGATCCCTGCTTTCCCCTCCACTTGTTTTTGTTCTCTCCTCAGCTTACTTCCGTGTATAAGACGGCCCTCAATTTTTAGTCTAAAGATTTTAGACAAAAGTAGAGTCTTATACATGGAAAAATATGGTAATTATAAACCCCCCCCCAAGGTAATGCTTTAGGCGCAATAGGGCAGTCTATAAGCAGCACGCTTTAATCCACCTGTGTTCATGCTGGATATCATGTTCGAAACGGCACAGTGGTGGACGGGGAGGGACATCTCATGGGCCAGTACAAACCAAGGATCTGGCGCCACCCTGAAGATCGTCAGGTTTTGTTTTGCATCAAAGTCTGTGGATGTCCCTCCGCTTTCCCTGAAATAATTGGTGAGGAAGAAAGAAATTCAAAGACACCGTCGGTTCAAGCTGACGCCAAACAAAATTTCCAAGGTAGCGCCAAGTTCTTGACGGCTTTTGCTGCTCCATGTTCGCTCAGCCACTTGGCTGGAGAATTTTTTTACAGACTCAAGAGCTAGTCTTCCACAGCCAATAATAATAAAGAAATCTACCACATTAGAAGGGTTTTATCCTCGCCTTCCCCTAGACAGGCTAGTTTCTTGTGAAAGGGTTTGTTTTATTCTGAAATGGTGGGACAGTAAAAAAAAAACACAGACTCCGTTTGCCGCCGGGAGCTGTATTCAGGCAAAATTGCTCTAGTGTCGTAAAGTCACAAGGACGCAACGCTGCTCCCTTGCCGCAACTTTCACGCCAAGGGGCAACCTTGAGCTGGCAAAATGGACTGCTAGCAGGGGTCCATCATATCAGTGCCCATGCTAAACGGGTGCAGGATGGGTGGCCAGGCACTTTTGACAGCTAGGTGGGAGCTTCTTACCCCTTGTGGCCAGGATTTCATGCTACGGCAGGGGGTCCAGCAAAGTATCACCTGTAGGCTACATGGGGGCCCCAAGGGATGTTTTGTGAGCTCCCCACAGATCTCTCCAATGCCCCCCTCCTTGAAAAAATCTGTACCCCCAAGAAAGTCAGGGTTTGCTCTTGGAAACATCCAGGAACAGTGGTGTTAGTAGCAAGACACCCCCCAAAAAAACCATCTTCCCCCAAAATCACACAGAATTGGCCATTTCATTATTTTTTCCAACATGATTTGGTGGTGGTGGGTCTCAGGGAGAGAAACAGTGGGTACCCAAATGCCATGAACTCTAGCACCTCTGTTCAATGGCCTCTCAAATCTGCTAGCACCTCTGTTCAATGGCCTCTCAAATGTGCAGACGGGAGGGAGGGAGAAAGGAAAGGAAAGGAAGGAAGGAAGGAAAGAAAATAAAACAGTGTCTCGAATTGATTTTTGCCTCCGGAGCTCAGATAGGTTTGTAAACTACCACTGGCAGGAGACAACTTCACAACCCTGGCAACACAAAGGTGTCACGGTCCCACAGAAGGAGGGTTTACAGATATTCTCTCACAGAATCATTTCCTCTTGGCAAAGATGAGTGGAGTTCCTTTCCTTGCCACCAGGAAGGAGCGCAGAGATCCCGGCAGGACCTTCTCAGGCAGAAGACACCAGTTTGGTTGTATAAAAAAGTCCTTGCGCGGCTTTGGCAACGAAAAGAAGTAAAAAATCAGGTATGCGCAGGTGTGCGCGCAGAGGTGTGTTTGTTCGTTCACTGGTTTCTTTCTGAAACTCATCCACACGTAGCGTAGCGTTCATCACCTTTGCGGTTGCTTATTCGGTCTCAGATGGAGGATCTGTTGTTCTCTCCCACACTCCCATTCCTGCTGGCAGGCGCCGACGCCCCGTGCTCTTTCAGCGTCTCATATCACAAAGGAAGACTTGTGCCTAAAGTCGCCCTGGAAAAGAAGACACCCGGAAAATGCGTCAGAATGTTTCGGAAGACGGTTTTCCTTGTCTGCTGTCACTGTTACCTTTGGGGGGGGGTTTCTTTTCCTCTTGACATTGCTAATGATCTGGATGTTTTCTGTGGGTGGGTGGGCACCTGCATCTATCTGCTGTTAGTCGCCCAGAACAGTGGTTTTCCATTCGATGGGCACAATGTAAATGTATTCATTCATTCGTTCATTCGTTCATACATTAATTCGTTCATACATATTCATTCGTAACTAGAGATGGGCACAAACCTAGGTTTGGGGGTTCGTGCCGTGTGTTCCCTTCCCCTCCCACTCCAGCTGGATCTCCCACTCACCAACTAGTGTGCGCCACCTCTCCTCCTCCTCCTCTTTGATTGTTCGACCAGCCACCAGCAGGAGCACCGACTTCCCTGCCCCGCCTCCTTGGCCAATCGGCCACTCAGACATGGAGGCGGGACAGGCAACCCTGTGCTCTTTCCGGGGACTGGTCGAACAGCTGAAAAGGAGGAGGAGGAGAGGAGCACGTGACAGCTGAGCTGAAGAGGAGGAGGAGAGGAGCACGTGACAGCTAGTAAGCGGGTCATTGGCCGGGGAGGCAGGGGAAAAGAAGGGTGTTGTGTGTACGAACCAGCACGAACTTCCGAACCGAAGTTCGTGCCCATCTCTACACCTAGCCTTCAAATTATACCATCAAGCTAGTTTTAGAACTGCCTCCTCTGGCCCAGCCGAAACAGCAAAAGGAACGTCGTGTCATTAGCCTGGATACCCTGTGATTTAACTTTCTCTTTAAAGGGTTTCTGTTAGCTTTGACTCCATGACATTCTCTTACCTCATCATCTGTGCGGATGTAGTTCACCCCATCTGGTTTTGTTGGCGTTTTGTAGCTGAAAGGAAGGAAGAACATCCTTTACCGGGGTCCTCTGGGGAAGGCTAGTGGGTTAGGCTGCCTGGTTTCCACATTTTCTCTGCCTTTGCCCAGAGATGATTATTTCCCTCCCTACTTAAAAATGGTGCTTGACCTTGCCTGCTTAACACATGGCACGGCGGTCAGGTGGCAAAGCCCTGAAGGGGGTTGGCGCCATGTCAGCCTCAAGAGGCAGAGTAACATCTGTAGGCACGCAGGAACCATTCCTACAGATGTTTTATCTCCTTTTCCCTTTTCTACCTGTCTTGACAAAGGATGGCAACCCCTTGACCGTTTAAGGGTATCAGAAGGCTGCCGTTGATGGGCATTGGCTGATTCAGGTCACCCCTTCATTGGCAAAGAAGCTGTCTAGCATGAATCTAATTTCTGGGTAATGTTTCACCCACTTGTTAAGCCTTCATTTCAACAAAACATGGGGTTGACCAGGAAGTCTCCCAAATCCAGGACAAGGAAAGCCATTCGCTTCATATCTAAACCCGTCCTAAACGTGCAAGGAGACCTGGTTATCTCCACTGTCTGCCATTCTTCTCCCTCCACCCCCCCACCACCACCAACACTACTCCCTTAGTAAAATCCTCAGGAAGAGTAGCAAGGCAAAAGGCTGCTGGCTTCAGCCCACCTGTTTCCATTTTGCTTGTTGTTGACAAAGAAGCCCTTCCGATAGGCACAGCAGATTCCCACCGTAGTCAGTGACAGGACCAACAGGACCACCAAGATGCCAACGATGATGCCAGCAATGTTCAGGTCATCTGGAGGAAGAGAGAGAGAGAGATTCAGCCTCCATTCCCTCCCAGCAAACAGGCAACGGGGATGGTCCTGCTTCACCGTTCCATGCAAGAACCACGTCAGGTACTCCCTTCCAATGGATTCTGGAAATCACTGATTGTTCATTTGTTAGCTCGTTCGCTTGTTTTGCCCAGGTAACCCAAGAAAAATCGGTGCAAACTGACTGACTACAAATTATTTACAGTAACTACATATTCTTAAAGTACCATAGCACTTTAAAGGTTGAGAGTTCGATTCCCCACTGCGCCTCCTTGACTTGATGACCTCTCGGTTCCCTTCTGGCTCTGCACGTCCGAGACATTATCTGCTAGAATCCCCAAAACAGATTTGTCCAGATGCTAGCCGGGGGAATTCTGGAAGTTGTAGTCCTGGAATGTAACTTTTCCACATTCTGAGACGGACAGCCATAGACCAGACTGACTGATATGAAAAATTCATTTCTATCCAGAAAGGTAACTTTTCAAAGCTCTGCTCTGTCTGTGTGTGTGCTCAAGAAGGACATCAGCCCAGTTAAAATAATTACATAGGCAGGCTATGCAGAGACCTCTTAATTCTTTTCCTCTCTGTCCACCACCGTGGTCCTAATATTCTGGTTTTGTCTTTGAAAAGGCTTTGTCCAGGGTGGTCTACAGGGAAACTGCTGCAACTCTCACCCAGAGACTTCCACAGACTATTATAATAAAGATACAAGCCTATGAAATGTGCTACGAATTTCTTGGATCAAGAAAATCAGCAAAGAAGGTGAGACAGGAAATCGTGAAAGACGTTGAATGCTGAAAGCTGGCCCTGTAATGAAAAGGACCACTTGCGGAATTCAAGATAAAATAAATGAGAAAAGTAGCAGGGGGAGGTGAAGAATTTATCCACTGAATAACCTGGGAGAGTGACAGGAGCGCAACACAACATAATTATTCACTGTAGCTCCATTCGACCCTCGGAAGAGCCGTAATAAGGCTGAAGCTCTCTGAGGAGAGATCGAGAAGTTCCCGGCAGAACCTCAGGGCTCGCTTCCTATCCATGCTACTCACAGACTTCCATGTCTTGTCCTTCACACCAAGCATTTCCGACAGCATTCATCGCTCGACAGCTGTACCGGCCCGAGTCTCCCTTTTGCACTTCACTGAAGACCTGCAGGAATCATAAAATAATGGGGGATCCTAGTACAACATGACAGTCATTCAAACTTTCCTCAGAGGAATCATAAAATAATGGGGGATCCTAGTATGACCTGACAGTCATTCAAACTTTCCTCATGGAGCCTTTACAAGAGAGAACTGTGCCATTTAAGAATGCAACGCTGTCAGGGAGAGATGTCACACAAAGTTGCCCCACATCAAAGCAATGAGCAATCTCAAGATACCAGCCGAACCAAAACAGATCTCAAAATCTATGCAGAAACCTTATCCGGAAATGTCTGTTTCCCCCTCTACATGCTTTAATCTCTGTTTTATGCTTGCATGAATGGACTGCATAAATATAATGAGGTCCCATCTTTACAACATTATAATATATGTCTTCCGATATATGACAAGGGCTGTCCATTTTTGGAGAAAGTAAGAAAACATCTTCACAGAAAACAACTCCCTCTGCCAGCAAAACAGGTCTGTTAATGCATCTGTGCAATCTCAAAAGTCTTAAACAACTATTTTGTCACTGTGGGCGGTTAAAGCCAATTTCCACCGCTGAGACAGAGTGACATTTGCAGCCGTCAAGAAGTAAGTCCTAGTCTTCAGCATCTGGAAAACAAGCCAATTTCATTTTTTTTAAAAAAAAAAGCTTAAATCTTGCTTTCGTCACTAATGTGCCTCTAGATTTGAGACTTCAGAGACATCTACGCACATGCGCTACTGGTAAAAAGGTATGTAGGATTTACAGCAGCGTGAAAGGACCACAAAATCTCTTAGCACTACTGAAATTATCCACTCTTCATCTGAGAGTGCAACCAGTGACTGTTATTTCTCTGAAAGTTGAGAGAGCAAAGCCAGCATTGTTAGGAAACAGAAGAAGAAGACGAAGGCCAGGTGGGCACAAACACTGAGTATGTAGAACTCTTCCAAACGTTATCCACACCTCTACCCTTCTCCCTTTCTCCAAAGCATTGATTCTGTCACATGCACTATGGGCCAGACTAGCTGGGGATGATAAATGTGGTCATCCAAAACCTCTGAAAGGCCAAAGGCTCCCACCTCCTCGTCTACAATGCAGTGCACAACACAGCAGGTATTCACATCCAGCATGCAAATCCGTAACTCTGTTTATACCCTTCAAAACACACACGGACACAGAAAGAGAGAGAACTGGGGTCTTCCTTGTTCAGGAAAAAGCAGAATGCACACCCTCAGGCCTTGTTGCATACATAGTAACAGCCACACTGTTTGTTCTGCAGTGGCCAAAATTCTGCTGCTCAGCGGAGTAAATCCCATTAGAGTAAGCCTACTGAATCAGTGCAGATAGGGTGAGTCAACTCCTCCACAGGTTTCATGGCTTCAAACCGATCTACTCTAGTTGCAACTGAGTATGGTAAAATACGTAAGTTGCAACTAAAAGAGGCTCATTTGAATCCATGGAACTTATGGAGGAGTTGACTCACCCAACCAGCACTGATTCAATGGGCCTCCTCTAGTGGGACTTACTGCACTAAGGAACAGGATTTAAACCTGTGTTTAGAAGGAGATCTGTATGCATGGCCCGCTTCTCCTCTGGCCATATGCAAGATTCCCAGTTTTGCTGTGAATTTACCATCAGGCCAATGCAGTAGACCTTGTAGACCCAACCAATGAAAGGTTGATTAGGAGGGAACACAAGACCTCCAAAGGAAAAGCTGAGCTGGGACGTAGGCCAGGCCACTGTTCCTCTCCCTGATGTCCCATTAGACTTACCAATGTGCCGGTTCTGGGGTCCACTGTGAAGGAAGAGTTCTGGAACTTAGAGCTGGTTTTGGAATCCAGTGGCAGCGTTTCACCATTACGGTGCCAGCTGTACGTTGGCTCTGGGAAGCCTTCCTTTTCCTGGCAAGACAGGGTGGCCGATTTGCCGACCGGCACAGATTGGGGCACTCGGCACTTCGGGGCCACCGGTTTCACTGTTGAGGAAGGAGAGGACCCACCTATGAGACACGCTGGTGGACAACCTGACCCCAACGTGTATCCACATTCCTGCACGACCCACCCCTACATTGGCATCCTAGCATCTTTTGGTACCAAACAGATTGTGTCAACAATGAGAAAACATTTTCTAAACAAGGTCCTGCAAGTCAAGTCTGGACAACAAAAGAGAACCATCCTATTTCTTACTGTGGTGGGTCTGCCTTGACTTAATTTGGCCTGGGATCTCTTAAGCCAAAAGGCAACATGGGCAAGGAAGATGGACAAGGTTCACTCTGTGCCATAACCAATCCTGCGGGTCAGATTAAGCCAATAAAAAAAGATTTGCAGACAGTAAAACCGACAATGAATCTTGCAGCACCTTCAAGACTAACAGACATTTTGCTTAGTCTAAGCATTCATGGACTGCAGGTCACTTTTTCAGAGGCTAACCTATTAGGCTTCCCGACTTCTCTGCCTCCCTTCTACCATAAATTTCCTACATTCAGCCCAGTGGCTTTGTACCAAAGGTGAAGAACCCGGGGCTAGGCTGACCCAAGATGAAGAAGAGTAGTGGGATCTTTTAATAGGTTATGGAGAAATGAGAATTTCAGCAGATGCAACTTGCTGAAATAATTATTAAAGACACAGGAGCTCAGACCTCATCCCCATGTGGCCGCCCCACTTGTGCTCCTCTAAATATTACTAGACAACCCCCCCAACTCTCATGAGTCTTGGCCAACTCTCACGATGGGGGTCAGTTCAAAAACATCTGGAGAGTGGCAGATTTCTCCACCCCTGCTTGATAGGCTGTGTTTGCCTCTGCTAGCTGGGAATGATGAGGGCTGTAATCCAATATATCCAGAGGGGTACTAGATTGGTGAGGGCTTCTCCAACAGGGACACGATACTGCTTGTGTGAAAGCTATTTGTCTTCCTCAGAAGTGGGTTCCTACAGAGCAATGCTCTAGTATCTTCTTCTTCCTAGGAATCTCCAGGCAGGTAAATAGGAAAATCTTCAGGAAGGCATCTGCCATCAGTCATCAACATTCAACCAGCCCTCTCCAACCTGGTACCATCTGGAAACACTGAATGACAACACTCATCACTCCTAGCTAGTATGGCTCATGATCATAGTAGCTGTGGATGATGGGAATCGTAGCCTGCAAGGTCTCCTGCTGAGACAGTGGCGCCTCTTGCTAAGAGGAAACAGGGCTGGGAGAACCATCTAATTCAGACGTCCCTGCACGAGTTATGAGCGGCGAACACTAGCCAGGCCGATGGACCAGCTAGGGCCAGAGGGTCTTGTGTGCCCAGCAGTTCCATAGGGATCAGCCGGGCATCCCATTTGGACAAAACACAAAGAGATTCAGGCATGTACCATGAATGGTCAGGTTGATATTGATCTCTGCTCCAATTTGGGTGTCATCGGGGGCCACCACCTCGCACCGGTACAGACCTTTATCTGCCCGGGTCACGTTGTAGATGATCAGAGACGTTCTGCTGTGCAGCTGTGCCCGTTGTGCCCACTCTCCTGCAGAGACAGGGGAAGAGAAGCAAGGGGGGGAGGTTAAGCAAGCCAGGCACCCCTTCATCCCTGGCAAACGACCTGAACCGTCCGCGTTTCCTGAATTTCACTGCCCCAATGCTCGCATTAGGAAGAGACGCACAGGCATTTCAGCATCAAGGGTAAACTGCATGAAAAACACTCTGGCTCATGACTTCTTCTTTTTTTTAATGATGTGAGCTGCCCTGGGTCTTTTTTTTACCAGAAAGGTGGGGTACAAATATTTTTAATGAATGAATTAAATTCAGTGCCACTCAGCTCCAGTCTAGACAGCAACTGAGTCTGACTCCACCACCGGGAATGGGGTCCTCCTAAGTTTGTAGGGCACACAAAGTTCCAACCCCCCAGAAGCCCTTGTTTCCCAACTCCTGGAAAACACCATGATCAAGTGAAGCCCCCAGAAGAGAGGACAGCGATGCTTCCTACCTTGCAGCTTGTTGTTGTACAACAGATAGGTGGTTTCTTTGCTTCCAATTTTCTTCCACTCGATCCTGGGGTGGGCAGTCTTGGTGGAGGCAATGATGCACGAAAGTTCGGCACCTGTAGCAGGAATGCACACATCCGTCCACACTCACTTTGAAAGGGAGAAGGCACCGCCCGGCCTTCACGGTGGGAAGCTCATCCCCACCCAAGACCTTGTCTTTTTTCCCATCTTCCAATCAAAATAAAATCTGCTTGGCTCCAGAGACTTCAAGGAGGGAGGAGACGAACCCAAGCCAGCCAAAAGAACAACCAGTAGAGAGGGCAACCGCAGAGAGAAAACACACATTTCTGCAGAGCAAAAACATTTGCTGGGTTCCTTTCAAGCCGATCCTTGCATCAGGCGCCTGGCTCAGGAGCCAAGATGCCGACGAGGCTCGGCAGATCTCAGCAGATCAAGGGCAGAGACATAGATTGGACGTCTCTAACAGAGCCTGCCAGCCTCACCCCTGAATTACATCTAAGAAATTAGGAACTGCCATATTGAAAGGAGTACGAGAAGATTTTTTTAGTGTACCTTTTCTTGTGGGGAAGAGGACTTGCAGTGGAGCTAGGAATCTTAGCAACTTTTAGTCGATAGGTCTATGAAAGGCACATACAGATGGTTCAAGACACAAGAATGAGCTTGGTTGTTTTCTTGCAAGGAATGAAGCAGCCCAGGCTGTGGCACGTTAGTTCCCTGGAGAGTTCGTCTCTGAAGCTAAGCAGACGCAAGCCTGGCCAAGATCAGGATGGGAGACTGTGTTCTCTACTCCCTGGCTCAGGAAGAGGGGGCATAGCTCAATGATACAGGACATGCTTGGCGTGAAAAGGTCCTGAGCCCAATCTATGGGATATCCTTAGTAGGGCTGTGAAGGAGCTGCTATCCATCAAGGTGGGTACATGAGCAAGGACCAAGGGCCTGCATTGGGATAGGGGGCAGCTTCCTCTACTCTCCCCTCCCACCACACTTACGTTGAAATTCCTGGACCACGGGATTTAGGTTGGTGGATATCAGCTCTACAGCCAAGATCCGGTATCCTGTGAAAATGAACGAGGGGTAAGTTAATAAACAAACGGGGCTCCTTTGTCATTCCTGGTCTTGAAGCAATAGTTTGAATGTATCCCTAGCAATATTATCCCCTTTGCAAAACGCAGCTCCTTCCATCTAGCAAAGCATGATTTATTTTCCACTGAGTCACCTACTCGGATTTATACTTAGACAGCACGAGAGGGCAAGTTGCACAGTCCCAGGACATCCCCAGGAGATTACCCCACTTCTGAGTAATTTCCACCTGACAAATCCTGAAAAAGATCACCATAAGTTAGATCTGGCTTGACGGCACACTGTGATGAGGATGATGTAGTTTTGCAGAATTCATGCAATTTGCCAGGTTTTGGTGAGGAACCTATGGTAAAAGCCAAGCTAGAAAATAGTGTGGCACTCTAATACAACTCCCATCGTCCTTTATCCACGTGGTCCGTGGGAGCTCTAATCCCAACACATCTGGAGGGCATCAGATTGGAAACCTAATACAGGTTGATTTAACCAGCCAGTTATATTGGAACATCTCATGTCCTCCAAGAAAGGTGAAAGCAACTTGAAGCCCTTTCCATTTCCTCTTCACGAGAATCCTCTGAGGTGAATTTGGTAAGAAAATAGAGCTGCCCTCAAGGTTCCCTCTAAGGCAGTGGTGTCCAACCTTGGGCCTCCAGATGTTCTTGGACTTCAACTCCCAGAAATCCTGGCCAGCAGAGGTGGTGGTGAAGGCTTCTGGGAGTTGTAGTCCAAGAACATCCGGAGGGCCAAGGTTGGACACCACTGCTCTAAGGTGTGCATGTGCGTGTGCACACGGAGCTCCGTCAACACCACACATCAGCAGCTGGTGTTGGTGCCCGTTTACTTGATGGTCCCCTGGGGCAACGCTCCGTTTGCTCCACTCTCGTTTCGGCACGGAGACAATCACAGAATCATAGAATAGTGAAGCTGGAAGGAGCCTATAAGGTCATCAAGTCCAACCCCCTGCTCAATGCAGGAACCTAAATTCAAGGATATCTGCCCGGTGGTTGTCTAAGTTTCTCTTGAATGCCTCCAGGGTTGGAGCACTCACTACCTCTCGAAGTCATGGGTTCCATTGTTGTACTGCTCTCACAGTTACGACGTTTTTCCTGGATATTCCACCGAAATCTGGCTTCCTGTAAATTAAGCCCCTTGTTGCATCTCCTGCACTCTGGGATTATTGAGAACAGATCCTGCCCCTCCTCTGTAGGACAGCCTTTCATGTACAGTGGTGCCTCGCTTAGCGATGTTAATTCGTTCCGAAAAAAATCGCTGCTAAGCAATAACATCGCTAAGTGAAATAAACCATAGAAATGCATTAATTGTAAATTAAGCCCCTTGTTGCATCTCCTGCGCTCTGGGATGCTTGAGAACAGATCCTGCCCCTCCTCTGTAGGAGACAACCTTTCAAGTATTTGAAAAGTGTTATCCTATCACCCGTCTTCTTTTCAAATAATAGGCCCTGACCCCCCCCCCCAAAAAAATAAATTCTTAGCTAGCAAGATCAGTAAACATGGCAAGCTTTGTCTTAGGTCCAAGCCAGTCAGTTCCGAATTTTCTCCCAAAAAGGAGTGTGCTCGCTGGATCACACCCCCAACTCCCACATGATGGGCCAACCCCCATTGGCAGTTTCACAGGGGCCATCTGGAACAGCCATTTTGAAACCGCCGATCAGCTGCGCGAAAATGGGGGCTTTGCAATGATCGCTTCCCCGCGATCATCGCAAAGCGAAAATACCCCATAGGGAACATCACAAAGCGATCGCTTTTGTGATTGCAAAAAGTTCATCGCTATACGGAGCGATCACTATGCGAAGCACCATTGTATTTGAAAAGTGTTATCCTATCACCCGTCTTCTTTTCAAATAAAAGGCCCTGACAAAAAAAAATCATTACCTACCAAGATCAGTAAACATGGCAAGCTTTGTCTTAGGTCCAAGCCAGTCAGTTCCGAATTTTCTCCCAAAAAGGAGTGTGCTCGCTGGATCACACCCCCAACTCCCACATGATGGGCCAACCCCCATTGGCAGTTTCACAGGGGCCATCTGGAAGCTCGACTAAAATATATTATGCCAATAGTCTTACATACAATGAAATCATGCTAGATACTCTAGCTAATCTTGGCTGGTTAGTGAGATATTTTTTAATCCAACTCATCTGTTTGGATTTCTCCCTTCTGTAACACACCATCTCCTGCAAGAAAGACTCCACGATGTAGCAGGCACTTTTTTCCCCAAAATGTTTTCCACTATCCTATTCACTTCTTTTTATCTTGCAGTCATGGCATATTAAAGACACTCGTATACAGTCTGGTTAAATTTCTCCTCCCTTCATGATGGTATAGTCTGAGGTTGTTCTTACCCCAAAGACGTTCCTCTGATCTCCCTCAAACATGAGTGTATTGGCATGAAATTCTTTCTGTATTCATGTTCCAGATAACGTTCTGGTTCCTTCCTTTGAAACCCGGCTCTTCCTCCCCATGTCCAATTTTCGAGAGAGACCAGGAAATGTTTAAAATGTGTTCTAATGAGATATCTGCCAGAGCAGCCTGGCTTTGCCGCCTTTTAGTGGTTAATACGAGGTTGCTATAAATAAATGCTAGAAGGTTATTTAACAAGTAAAAATAAAATAGCCACATGAAGGGCTTTTGAAACGTGCAGCTTCTTCCTCTCCATAGCTTTCTCCTCCACACCATTTAATCGTGAAGCAGGTATCCAGATGTGAAATTCTGGCCCTCCAGTTCGGTGTTGCATATACACTTGTACATAAAACATGCTGGCTGGAATGGGAAAGAGCACCCCTGTCATCTATCACCGACACTTTCTCAAAAAATCGCTGCTTTTTCGCACCATAAGACGCATTTTTCCCACAAAACAGGGGAGTGGAAAGTCTGTGCGTCTTATGGAGTGAAGAAAACAGATTATATTTTCCTGTTTTCTTCTCCTAAAAAATTGGTGCGTCTTATGGAAATGTGCGTCTTATGGAGCGAAAAATACGGTAAATCAGAGCCTCACAACTTCCTTGTTAATCGACGGTGGGTAACTCTTCCAGATGCTATTGGGCTCCCATTAGCCTTAGCCGGAAAAAAGCCAACAGTAAGAGTTTAGAGACAGGCAGAACTGGCAAGTCCCAAACACCTGGTTCAGCTGATAAACGAACTGGCATGAATCACCAAGCTGGGAGTTCGTGCCCATCTCTAGTAGGGATGCTGGAAATTGCAACCCAACAACACAGAATGGGGCTAATATTTGCCCACCTTTGCTGTCAACCTACAAAGTCCACGGGGATGGTCATGTACAGAGCTCTGAAATTTGCCCGTCCCTGATGTAAACAGAGACAGGCGCATAAGTGGGGCCATCAACCACTGAATATTTCCCCCATCCCATTCCGTATTTTCACCCAGGTTTGAAGTCCAAAAAGGGAATTCTTTCAGGCTCTGCTTCCTGACCTGTCAGGAAGCATCCTCAGTTCCATTGCCCGTAGATCATCCATGATAAAAAGAGGTCTTTGAGTACGCTGTGCATGAATATTACGTTGCCAGCTTGTTGACGCCAAGCCTGTCTACCTTCGCAGCGTACCCAAGACAGAGGTCACCTGAGAGAACCCCACAGAAGCCTTGTTGTGTTCCATCAGGAAAGATTAAATGGGACACAAATGTCATAAATAGGTACATAAATTAATAAAAAGAGGGAGGCAAAGCAGGCAGTCTACGCTGCCTATCCAGCCTTAACATTTCCAAGACAGACACTAGACCGCACAGAAGATGCAGAAGTCCTTTTGCCCTTTCATCCCTCCAGACGTTCTTCCAGTCTAGCCCTTAAAGAGAATCAGTTCCTTTTTCTCCCTCGCTCCTTGCTTTCCTCCCCCTTCTGAAGTAAATGCATCACCTTAATCCCAGGAAAAAGCCAAGGCATTATAAAACAACTGGTGGAAAGGAAGCCATGCTCAGCGGACAAAATATCCCCCCCGGAACTCCTCTTGACACTTTTACCAAGAAGCTTCCACTGATGTCCTCCAAAAGTGAGAGACCATTTTGCAAACAGTACACATGTACCCCTCTGGACACTCTCAAGCAAACAGTTCTTTTTTGAACAAATAATAGTGGTTTAGGTCTCTGGCTGTGGAGCCAGAGTTTGGGAGTTTGATTCCCCGCTGTGCCTCCAGAGAGAAGAGCCAGCCTGGGTGGCCTTGGGCAAGCTGCACAGTCCCAGGGATCCCCAGAAGAAGGGAAGGGCAAACCACGTCTGAGTGTTCTCTACCCACGCAACCCAAAAAAGGGTCATTGTAAGCCAGAATCAACTTGACAGCACACTGCTACTGCTGCTGCTACTACTACTACTACTACCACAAAGTGAAATGAAATACAGTCGTGCCCTGCTTGACAATTACCCCAAATTACGACGAATCCGCTTCACAACAATGTTTTTGTGATCGCAATTGCGATCGCAAAATGATGTTTTAAATAGGGTTTTTTCGCTTTGCGAAGATCGGTTCCCTGCTTCAGGAACTGATTCTTCACATTATGATCAAAACAGCTGATTGTTGGGTTTTCAAAATGGCCACCAGGTGCTTAAAATGGTTTCCTACTGTGCTTAGGGACAGATTCCTCGCTATACAGGCACCGAAAATAGCCGCCGTATGGAGGATCTTTGCTGGACGGTGAGTTTTTAGCCCACTGGAACACATTGAACGGTTTTCAATGCGTTTCAATGGGTTTTT